ACATTTGCTAGTCTCCAGTCTTCTGGCACTATTCCTGAAGACAATGATGACATAAAGATCAAAGCCAAAGGCTCTGCAATCTCCTGTCTAGCTTCCCAGAGAATCCTAGGATAAATCCCATCCTGCCCAGGGGACTTATCTATTTTCACACCTTCCAGAATTGCTAACACCTCCTCCTTATGAATCTCAATCCCATCTAGTCTAATAGCCTGTATCTCAGTATTCTCCTCGACTACATTGTCTTTTTCCTGTGTGAATACTGATGAAAAATATTCATTTAGCACCTCTCCTATCTCTTCAGACTCCACGCACAACTTCCCACTACTGTCCTTGACTGGCCCTAATCTTACTCTAGTCATTCTTTTATTCCTGACATACTTATAGAAAGCTTTAGGGTTTTCCTTGATCCCAAGGCTCAAGATAAAATCTGTGTTTCACAACGAATGATGTGCTTTGGAAGTCACTGCTGTCATTTGGGAAGCATGGCAACCAATTAGCACAGCAAGTTCCCACAAACAGCGATGTGATAATACCCAGGTAATCCATCTGTAAGTATGAGTTGGTGGGAGAATGATTGGCCAGTTTACAAGGCATTTCTTAGCCACTGATGAACTCCTGGTGTTTAATGTGCAGTAACAAATCTCACTGCATGCCACCAAGTGAAAACCACAGGCTCAATATGTTCCTCTGTCACTGGCACAAACTCAAGTAGCCACCTTAGGTCCCTTGTTGGTAAGGAAGTTCTGCTGAAGTATATTCCATAAAATTAAAGATACTAGGCTCCAAAAAAAAATCATGTACCATGCAATAGCCCATGTTAAAAAGTGGTTGTGAACAGATTGGTGAAGCATCCAGGTGAACTGCTTCCTTCCAGTTAGCAGCAGTAAATGTTACAGTAAAAGATGAAATTTGCAAGAATTACCCTGTATGTTAAGATGAAAATGACCCAGCGAGGACTCTATCCTTCCACCAAACTGCAAAACTCAGGTACTCTGCAAAATAAATTTACTGCTACCTTCTTCCATAATGTATAGAATTGCCTCAATACACTGACCACCTGTATTCTGGGTTACTATATTTTGGAACCTTCAATGTAAAATAGCTGGAAAATAAATAAAAACAAAGGGTGCTACGAACTACGTTTTTATCTCCTCACCTTTGGCATTGTGAGTGCTTCATTCTCTTTGACATAAAGTTGATGTGGTTTGATGAGTTGACATGCAGGTGTCGAGACTGGTAAGATCAGAGACTTTATGACCAATGTTTTGAGGTGCAAGTTTTAGTTATTTCCTGTGTACATATTGAAGTTGTTCTCTAGGCTGAACCAGATGCTTTGCAAATTCAGTATCATTATTTCCTGAGATGAGCTTGTGACCACACTTCAGCACCATCTCCAAGATGGCCTGTTTCCACCTCCGTAATTTTCTGGGACTACCTCTTGCTTCGCTACAGCTCCACGGTTGTTAAAAGCCTCCACCATTTCTCTGTTAACTCTGGAGGGGTCTGGAATGGGGGATGTGAAAGGGATCTTTGCTCACATGGAGTGATCCTAGAAGTAAGGGTCACCCTTCTAAGACAGAGGAGAAATATTTTTCTCTCAGAGCATCATGAGCCTTGGAACTCTCTTGCTCAAACGTTGGTGAAGCAGAATCTTTGAATATTTTTAAGGCAGAGGTAGATAGATTTTGGATAAGCAAGTGAGTGAAGGTTATCACATGTAGGCAGGAAAGTGGAGTTATCAGATCAGCTATAATTTTATTAAATGGAGTAGGCTTGAGAGACCAATGGCCTAAACCTGTTTCTTATTTGTATATTCATTTGTAGACACCTTAATGTCAGTCTTCCATATTCTATGCTTCTAGAACCTGGAGTGAGGTGGTGGTGTAGCGATAATGTCACTGGGCTAGTAATCCAGAACCCAGACTAATGTTCTGGGGGCATCGGTTCAAATCCCACAACGACAGATGGTGGAGTTTGACTCCAGTAAGAAAAAAGCATGCCAACCATATAGTTCTGTCAATTGCTGTACCCAAACCCTACCTGATTTACTAATATCCTTCAGGGAAGGAAATCTGCCATCCTTGCCTGGTCTGGCCTACATGTGACTCCAGACCCACACCAATGAGGCTGAGTCTTAACTGTCCTCTGGGCAATAAATGCTGACCCAGCCAGCTCTGCTGATATCCATTGGGCAAATGAAAAACAACCCAAAACTCAGCTTTTCATATCCTATCTCGCATCAAGTCCTGTACACCTATCAACTCTGTTGCTGAGCTACCCAGGCTCCTAAATGTTAAAGTTCCTAACCTTGTTTTGTTTAAGTCCCTACCCAGCATCACTATTCCTATCTCTGTAATACCTTCCTGAT